AAAAAAAAGTATTATGAGGAAAAAAGAAAAGGAAATTTCTCTCCACACTATCCCAAAATCCCTTGCGTGTAATCGCGTGATACATTTTATTTTTACATGTGGCAAATCCAACCAAATATGCAACAATGACATTGGACAATACAAGAATTGGACTCAGTCACTCAAAAAAAGTGCATGTTTAAAACATTTCTTTCTTTCTTAAATACACTAAAACACTCACCAAATCACAAAACACACCTGATTTATAGGGTCTCGCTCTGTTCTTTCTCAGTTGATGCCTGCATGCCGGAATGTAACACAGAGAAACAAGTGTTTTAGAAACAGCTGCCCCGTAACATGCTAGCGATTAGCGGCCGGCTGCAGGGCCACCTCGGTAATGACCCCATTAAAAACGTACAGGTGACCAGCTAATGATTTCAGCTGTAGGCCACTAACGATTTTAGAAATGACTAAGTTTTTTTTAGAACAGAGCGGCGAGAGTGTGAGCGAGAGAAAGGAACGAGTGCTATAATTTGTAGTGTGTGTGTGCAGGTGCCGTCAGGGCTAAACCTACAGCAAACATGCACAAGTGCAATACTAATAAAACACAAACAGACGCCACAGTGCAGGGGTAGCACTTCACACACACAGATCTGACTCTTATGTAGAGCTCAGCTGAGGAGAGACATATGACCAGTGCATTGATCGAGGCATCCAAAGGAGATCAGTTACAATGAGGCCATGACTAATTTTCACTCTCTTATGATGGAAAGAAAAACAAATATATTGCAATTTGGCGGGATGCAATAATCAAAAAGGAATTCACTGTGATTAAAGCATAAAGAATGCAATAATTAGGTCGTAACCAGTGTAAATACCTGTTTCCTCCATGCTTTATGCACTTCTGCGTTAGACAGGCAGCTCTATTCTTTGTCACATGTTCAATTAGAGTGTCCTAATCGCATGAAACATTTGCCTGTAATTTAGCCGTCCAGCTCCAGGAAATAACTTCTCACTGTGCAATGGTTTACTTGTCTCGGTGCAATTACGAACAAATTAGAAATTAGCTGGAAGCGTTTAGCACTGGCTGGTTATAGGCTTTTACCATTAAAGAAGAAGTGTATTATGTTTCCGACATGTCACAGTGTCTGACAGTGCTGTCAGCTGTTTGAATTTGTTTTTGTGTGTGTGATAATCTTCATTGTTAGTTAAAGTGACCTTATATTATGATTAGCAATCATTGTGTGAACAGTTATTCTTTGCGTCCAGCTATTATAATGAAACCATTTTATTTTTTTGCATAGAAGACACATACATTTTCCTAAAATCAAATTTTAAGTTATAGATACTTGCATGAGGTTGCCTGTTAAAACTAAATCAGAATTATAGATCATGATATTTGACAACTAGGAAAACCTGATAAAACCTGTATCACATGATACACATGTATAGAACATTACTTTGCTTTAAAAAAAAAAAGTCTAGGTTCATTATGTGATGTGTCCTCGTTTTGTCACAGCTGTGGAGCGTTCCACACTGACATCCACATAGACAACGACAGTGAGCGATAAACACACAGGGCTGAATTTGATTAGATGTCTAATCTGTGAGTGAGCCACGAGTCTATTGACTCAGATCCTCTCGTGCTGAGAGTCTCAAACAGTGAGCAATGATGGCACATCAACCCCTCTGACTACACAGGCCATTCAGCAGAGCACCTTGTTTTTGGAGTAATACATCAGAGAGATGTTCAGCTAAATACTGAAGGCAAAAGCAGCATTTTGTGTGTGTGAAAGAGAGTGTCTTTACTGTGGCTCATTTTTTGTGTGTGTGTGTGTTTGTGTGTGTGTGTAATTTCAGATTTTGTTCAGTGTGTTTGTTTGAAACATGTTTAAAGGGACAGTTCACCTTCAGCTGCTGGCCCCCATTGACTTATAGTGTTTTTTTCCCTCCATACTATGGAAGTCAATGGGGACCAGCAACCGAAGGTGAACTATCCTATTAAGTGCTATTAATTGGCGTTTTTTAAACCACTGCATAATTCCATTTAGATTGAGATTATCCCAAATGAACAATGCTAAAATATCCAAATGATTAAATGGATGATTAGGGACATTAAAAAACAAATATCTGGGCTTTTTTGTACATTTAGATTTTTTTTTTTTGAGAGCCAAGCATGATGTACAAAAGTACATATAACCAAACATGTGATTGGTATATAGAAAAAAGGGGAAAAAAGTACAGGAAGACA